GCATTATTGTGAAAACTGGTAATCCCCAATTGTGTGACATACTACGTAACAAAATCGGACTGCTTAATCTGGGTCAATCTACCATGCTCACTCAACTTCGCTCTCCTGCTCTACAACAACAACCCCTCTCCTCGTCGTACACCTCTTTTCTCTTGTGTCATTCGCGGTGTAGATCCTGGCATCATTGAGAAAAAAAAAAAAGAGATCCTTTCCGAACTTCTACTTTAAAATATATCAGTCTAGCGTGCCATTCGCATTCAAAATTCCTCAGGTCCTACCTTCATGATTCGTGTTTTGGCTGAGAATAGTGACACTATAGATCATCTCTTGTCTAATGGAGCATTTCTTTTCTGTCAATGACATCGAGATGAAGCTTCCCATTCCCCCCAGGCTCTGCACTGTGAGAGGTGCCTATTATACAACTCACATACCACTGCTAAATGCTTTAACCAACCAGTTTGTTCTCATTGTCGCGGACCTCATCTCCTTCACCAATGCTCTCCTCCCCCCTGCAACACTTGCTACCTTGATCATCCTACATACTCCTCTAAGTGTCAGGGTAAACCTACCCCCAAGACTGATGATCCTGCTTCTGTTGCTCCAGTGCATACCACCGATATCATTACCCCTCCGGACAATTATCCTACCATGGAAGATATTATCTGTTTCATCACTTTAACACTACAGAATGTCCTCCCCTTCCAATGTACGTTAGTTCTAGATCATATTATCCATGCTGCTAAGACTGTCTTTCGCCTTCACATGCAGACCACTTATTCTGGACTTAACTCTCACTTCCTATTTTGTCGTCTATGGGATCCTGCAGACTACAAGTTGAAGTTTTTATTTGTCAATATTCGCTCTCTTCTTCATAACCTCCTGGAGATCTTGCTAGATGGTGGTTCCTATGATTTTGTTATCCTTAATGAAACTTTTCTGAAACCCACTCAAGGGATCCATCTGTCAGGGTACACTCTTCATTGCCATGATCATCCTATGGGTGAGGCCTGAGGATGTTGCAACTCGCTACATATACTCCACTTCCTGTGTGTCTACATTTCCTTCCACAGTCCACTTATCCTGAGCATTTGGTAGCCACTGTTTACTCACCATCTCGTATCATCACTATTGCAACTATCTACATTCGTCCCGGAGTTCCCTTGCCCAATGCCTTTCTCTCCTTTCTGGACAACTCTTTTCGCAGTTATGTTCTTCTTGCTGATGTCAACTACCACAGTAGGACCTCTGCAGAACTTGTATGTTTTCAGTCCTCCTTATCTTCCCTTTCTGGTTCTTTACTACCCCTAGTCGTCCAATTTCTCATTCGTCATCTGATATTGTCTTTGTTTCTTCCAACCTGGTTTCTTTTATCACTCTCCAGATGTGTCCTCCCGTTGGTAGTGATCATCTCCCCATAGAACGTTGTGTCCATTTACAATCCTTGTCTGTTCCTCGTGCTTCCCGTCAGACTCATCTAAATTTTCGTTCTGCCGACCGGAAATCTTATGCTTCACACATTGCTAGTGCCATCGACCTCTTACTACAACAGCCGATGTTGACTCCTTCGCCACATTACTCACCACTCTTCTCTCTGATGCCAGCACTTTACACATACTGACTTCTTCACCTCCACATAAACCAGCCTTACGTCATAGAGCTGTAGATCTGTTACATCACTCTTCCACTTTTTTGTGTGAATACCGCCGGTTTCATGATCCCGGGGTCTTCAACATACTGCACGTAATTTTGTTCGGGCAGTCCGAAGTCAGCGATGGCATCAGGCCTGTAACAAACTCAGTCATTCCTCTTCTTCCTCGAAATTCTGGAACCATTTTAAGCTCCTCACAGGTCAACGATGTTCTCCCTCCTATCCCATATTTGTTGATGGTGCTGCACCTTCTACATCTTTGGACAAGGCCAATCTTTCTTGATTACAGTGACACTACAACCACTGTTAACTCAACTGTT